AAATCGATGTCTCCAGGATGGGGTCCGAGTAGATGGGGTTGGAGGATCGCGCCGCATCGCCGATGCATCACCGATGGAGCTCGACGTGGAGCCCGAGTTCTCCACGCCGAAGGCGCCGATGCATCACCGATGTCGCCTCATCACCGCCGATGCATCGACGATGCATCGCCGATGTATCGGCGGTGCGGCGCGATCCTCCGACCCCATCTACTCGGATCCCATCGCGGAGGCCTCTAATTGAGGCCTTGCACCTCGGGCAAAAGATTCAACCACTCCTGTCGGCGAGTTCGTCCGAGATTTTTGAGTTGAGTGCATGCGCAGTTGAAGTCAGATCATGGCGATGATGATCTCTGGGACGAGGACTTGGTAAGCCCGATCAAAAGAGCGCATGCTTTCTCTCCCTCTCTCTTTCTCTCTCGGAGTCACGCTCGTCCCCCTTGCAACTCGCTCCGACAGGTTGCAATTCCGTGTGTGAATCCGTGATGATTGTCCATGTGGTGGTATACGGCACTAGTGCTGTGTTCCTTCTCGCGCTTGCTTGTGTGAGTCCCCAACTCGTGTCAGATTCCCTACTCAGGTGCCACTGTTTGACCTCTTCGCATGCTCAGCAGTCGGTGAGAGAGATATCAAACGTTCAGGGCGCTCTTGGAGGAGGAGTGGCGGGAGGGGGAGGCGAATGGTATGAACAGTTTTCACAGGAGGAGGATCTAGACGAGAAGGAGGAGAAGGAGGAGTTCCGGGTGGAGGATAAGGATGGCGAATTAGTCGAGTTGGAGGAGCTTGCAGGGGAGGAGGCAATGGCACAGGATGAGCAGGATATGCGTTGGATGCTGTCGCTTCGTGCCAAAAGTGTGCAGGGATGCACCGGCGTTGGTTGTCTGCACGCCCTTCAGCGAGGCACGCTTCGCACCACGCATGCCAGGTTGGGCTGCCTGTCTCGGCCCCTCAGGTCCCTCACGGTTCGGAATGGAGAGGGCGTGCCAGGGAAAGTCGGGGTGTCCAGAATGTCTTTCCTTGCGGACGCTGCTCCTCCTTCTAGCTACACAGAGCAGGGAGCAGTGGCCGGTACCTTGAACGGTCTATGAGCCAGGGGCCTTGACCTTAATCGTAGCACAACGCGCATGCCACTGTTCTGCCGCTGGGCAGTCGCTGGTAGACGTTCGATGATGATGTTGCCGATCTTGCATTGCTTCACGCGTTGTGCACGACACGTCAGATGCGTTGCATGACATATCTACGGTCTTATTGTCTGTGCCTGCTGTATGTGACCAGGTGGCGCCTCAGGACCTGGAGTCGCCCAGTGGCGCCAAGGTCTGGTTTCTTTACTGAGGAGGGAAATAGGAGTAGTATGAGAGGCACGGGTCAACATGCTGATCACATCATTAAAACAACTAAGTCGGCGTTGGCGTTCATTTTGTTTGCGCAGATGCAGTTCTGGGAAACCATTCAGTTAGTGTTGAATTGTCTGATCCTGTGGGACGGCACGCCAGACATAATCAGTCATCAACGGTCCTGGCACATTGACTTACATGTGTCGTTTGGTTTGTGTTCTGTCCAAGCCGTCCATTCTCTCGACGTCTCGTTATTTGTATCTTCTTTTCTTGGTTGGAGGACAGTCTCCCGAAACATTTGTTTGTATCTAGGACCCCTTCCGAGACACCTGCTCATGTTGGTTGGTTGGGCAGAGGCACGGAGGAGGAGGGGGAGGGGGAGTGCGGAGGACGAAGGATTGAGGATGGAGGAGGGGGTAACATGGACGACGGTTCGTTCCTCCCTCATCCTCCAACCCCTTGTCCTCGTCATTGCCGGCACTGCCGGTCTGTCCGCCTGTGGATCCTCTTCCACGCGGCATTGCCGGTCTGCTCACTCCCATGCGTCTTCCCGTAATTGTCATTCTTTATTGCGTTGAGGTGGACCGACGACGGTTCGTTTTCCCCCTATATTCTCCTCACACCCCCTGTTCTTGCCCAGATTCTCCCACAACCTCTCTCCTCGTGAATGCCCCCCCGACCCCCACCCCTTATCTTCCGTCCTTTCTCCCCATCCTCCCGCTCCTCTCCCTCCTCCTGTCCTCTCCCCTCTTCCCCCCCGGAAGACCATTTCCCTGGGGTTTCTCACCTCGAGTCACTTTTCGACAGACCCAGGGCCCGAACATGGGTTCCAAGGGCCGACCATCAGACTCTACATGCTTGAGTCCCCAAAAGATCTGGGGAGGCGGTGAGGAGGAGGAGGAGGAGGAGGATGAGGAGGAGGTGGAGGAGGAGGAGTTGGAAGAGAAGGAGGAGGAGGAGGAGGAGGAGGAGCAGGAGGAGGAGGAGGAGTTGGAAGAGGAGGAGGAGGAGCAGGGGAGGAGGAGGAGGAGGAGGAGGAGGAGGGAGAGGATGAGGAGAAGGAGTTGGAGGAGGGGAAGGAGGAGGGGAAGGAGGAGGAGGGGGAGAAGGAGGAGGGGAATAATGATGAGGAGAGGAACGAGGAGAAGAGGAGGTCAGAGCGTGTGCTCCGTCTTTCTCCTTCCCCCCATCCTTCCTCCCTCCCTCTCACCCTCCCCCCTCCTGACTCTTCCCCACAGAGGCGTGTGTTCCCCCTTCCTTAGGATGCCATTCTTGGGATGTCCAGTTTAGCATCGGCGCTGGTAGATCCTTTGTCGAAAACTGGCCTAATCCGCCCAGTTCCGCCTGATCCCGCGTCATCCGGCCTAGTCTGGCCTGCTCCCACGCTCACTCTGGGCCATGGGGGCTCCGTGGCCTCTTCAGTGGGTGGTCGATTGCCCTTGGTCGTTCCTGCTCTGGCCCACGTGATGGATCCCGCTCCGTCTGGCCTCATCTGGCCTACCCACGGGCCGACGGGGAGCTCACCTGGTGGCCTCCCCGTCGGGTGGTCGACGGCCCCTTCGCCGTTCCTCCGAGGCCCTCCGAAGGGAGGTGCCGCCGCGGCCCTCCGAAGGGGGCTGCGCGGCGGGGCGCCCCCTCGGCCCCTGGCGAAGGCGTCCCTCCCAGCCTGCGCCTCCTCGCTTGGCATCGCTCGGACGTGTGCATTTTTTCCTCGGCGAGGGCCATCGAGGAGCATCCTTGATCCTTTGGCGAAAAAAACACGCGCGAAACCGACAAAAGCACCGGGAATGGACGTCCGAGCGATGGCGAGGTCCCTGTGCTCGCTTGGCGGCAAAGCGGGGTGAGGACCAGGTGTCAGTCGGGCGTGCCCCTCTGCAGAAGGAGCTTTCAGAACTCAAGAGAAGGGTCTGGGGAGGACTTGTTGAGTATTTTTTTTATTTTGTTTGGGGGTATGTTTCGAATATGTCACATCTTTCGCCCCAACTCTGCCTGTAGGTGGACATGCCCGACCTAAGACTATGGGGGGGGATATCATGGCCGGGGCCATGAGATCTCCCCAGCTTTCATGGCGCCTCTTCTCACTCCAGTGCGTCCCCGGCCCTCCCCCTTGGGCCGCGCACGTGCCGCCAGCCATGATTTGCACCCCCCCCTCTGGAACGCCCCCCTCTTGGCCGCCCCCGATGTGCGGGCTGGCCCGCCGGGCCAAACCCGGACCTCCCAACACATCGACCAGCCGCGCGGCGACGCGCAGAGTGTCTTTTGGAAGCACTCCCGCCTCTTCGATGGATGGCGCGGGCCATGCTCGTAGATGTGGGGCTGGCGCCTTCGAAGGAGCAGCCTCCTTCCAAGGAGCCCCGCCCCCCCCTCCCTCCGCCCCTCCTCCGCCTCCTCATCCTCCCCCTCCTCCTCCTCCTCCTCCTCCTCCTCCTCCTCCCACTCCTTCTCCTCCTCCTCCCCCCCTCCTCCTCCCCATCCCCCTCCTCCTCCTCCCCCCCCCTCCCCTCCTCCTCCTCCTCCTCCTCCTCCTCCTCCTCCTCCTCCTCCTCCTCCTCTTTCTCCTCCTCCTCCCTCCCTCCACTCCTTCCTCCTCCGCCCCTCGCCTCCCCTACCTCCTCCTCCTTCCCTCCTCCTCCTCCTCCTCCTCCTCTTCCCCTGCCTCCTCCTCCTCCTCCCCTCCCCCCACCCCGCCCCCGTGCGCCGCCGCTTCGCTCGAGCCGAGCCGCTCGCTCGAGCCGAGTCACGACCGAGCGTTTTCGTCGCACGCCTCGGGGCCCGGGGCCACCGTCGGGCGGTGATGCACGGCGGGGGCAAGAGGCCCATCTTCTGCCTCCCCCCTCCCTCTCCTCCTCCGCCTCGTCATTCCCCCTTTCCCCGCGCTGCCTCTCACGCAGAATCTCGGCCACGTTCGCAGGACTCCCCTGGCGTGTCCTGGGCCTTTGCTGGCTCTTGCTCTCTGCCAGGTTCTGTGTGTCGTGCGCGGAGTTCAGGAAAGCCTCCCCGAGGGGCAGCGGATTCTTGAGAGGTGGATTTTCTGAGGATGTGCATTGATTTTTGGTGTGGGACCGCCACGCCTCCCATAGCAAAACCATCGAAACGCACGAAACCCAGGGCATCCTGGAGGCAAGCAGGGTGTTTTTGTTGGCATGGGTCTCCACCTGTGTATCCAATGCTGAACAATAGCCCCCCCCCCGCATGCTAGGCGTACTCGCCTTTTTGTTCGGGTCCTGGGAACCGCACAGGTCGATGCGGTTCGACCAAAAGCTGCGGAAAGATGGGACCAGGCCTTTTGGGCGTGATTGTTTGACGATGTTGCACTATTTCGCTACGTCGGATATCAGGGATTGCATTCTTTCGAACTTCTGGAACTATTTGTTGAAGAAGTCTCTGATGCCCTCATGTGAGTCCGTGTGGCCTTCGGCATCAGATTAGGTCAGCGTGCGCGACGCTAAATTGAGAGTCGCACACCATGACAAGGAACCACCCTCAATCATCAATCCGCGTAGCTGTTGGGATGAACTTGCGTGGCGCTAAGGCGACAGACATGTTGAACACGATCCACTATGACACTATGAGGAGTTCTCAGGCCGAACGGCTAAACCGCCCTGCAAAAGTGGAGGGGGGGGTGAGGAGCAGCATCAGCAGCGCCGAAGCCTTCATATTGGCGATGAGGTTGCCAGGGCCCCGCCAGTTGCCTTCTGGCAGTTTACCTGCGTGCCGCCAGGCATTCCTGGTGGAGGCCCCCTCGGGGGCCCTGGACAGCGGGAGTCAGAAACAGCGCCAGGGCCATTTCTGGCCCGAGCCCTCGCGGCACCCAGGCGCGCAGAATTTGCTTGTCGGATCTTCCCCTAGAGACCGGCACCTACATGGGCGGCGCCACGTGGGGGCTCGGCCTGCTGCGCAAGGAGCAGGAGGCGGGCTTCGACTTCGTGGTGGCCTCGGCCCCAGCCCTGGCCCGAGGCCGCGACGCCGGGAGCGCGCCGGGGCCGTCGGCCCGCGCCGCCGCGGGCGCGGCCTGCGCCCAGGGCCCCGGCGGCGAGCCGCGCAGCAGTGCCCGCCGTGCGCGCCAGCCGCCCAAGCTGCACGGCGTGTCGTGGCAGGAAACGGGTTGACCCAGAAGGGGGGTCCAGCAACAGGGTCAGGGGCGGCAAAGAGGGGGGTGATGACTAGGGTGGGTGGATTTCATGGCGGGGGCCAAGATTTTTCCTCAGATTTCACGGCGCCTCTTCTTATTTCATTACGTCCCAGGCCCCCCCGCTGGGCCGCGCACATGCCGCCGGTTATGATTTGCACCCCCCCCTCTTGGACACCCCCTTCTTGGCCGCCCCCGAGACCCAGAAGGGGGGACCAGCGACAGGGGGGTGGTGCAGCAGGTTCGGTGCAATAGACTTGTGGGGTGGCAGTACACCCGTGGCGTGCAGTGCATTTCCGGGCGCAGATGTATGGCTGGAGTTTCGCGCACAGTGCATTCGTCGCAATGCAATACAATACACTTCTCCGACGCAAAACATTTGCAACACGCTTGCCCCGAATCTCTTGCACCACCCCCTTTCAGCTGGACCCCCTGTTGGGTCGGCCAAAAGGAAGTGCAGGTCGCCATCTTCGATGTGCTGGCCAGCTACGCGCTCGGCCGGGCGGCGTGCGCCGGCCTGGTCCCTCGCTCCATCGGCGTCGCAATAGATCCGCTGTCCCCGAGGGGCGTCCGTGTGCTCGAGGCGGAGGGCATGCCCTGCATCCCCGAGGACAAGGCCCTGGCCTGGTGCGTGCGAGAGGGCATCCGCTCCGTGAGGGACTGCTGGGCAGAGTCCGCCAGCCTCGTGTACCTCTTCGAGGGAGAGGGCATCCCCCTGCTGGCGCCGGAGAGGGCGTCGGCCATGGGCCCGGGCCGCCCGCGGCCGCAGCGGCGGCGGCTCGCCTGTCCCCAGTTCCTGCTCCACGCGAGGGAGGCGCTGCTCGGCCGAGGGGCCGGGAACATCAAGAAGGGGCGAGTCGTGAAGCGTGTCGTGCCCGTGGCCCTCGTCAAGGGCGAGGGCTAGGTGGGTGGCCAGCCGGAGTCTGCCGGGCGTGCCCCGCGGTCCTCGTGAGAAAGCCGGCCAGGCTCTGCCCGGTTGGCTGCAGGCCACCCGACGGAAGTCCCAGGACGGAGGATTTGCATACAGGGTCAGTTCGTTATCAGGCCCCACAGCTGCCCACGTAGAGTTCTGCCCGAAGAGAAGCTGTTTTGATGGTTGGGCTGCGAGAGCTTGAAAGGCAAACAGCTTTGTCTCCCAAGGCGGGTCACACCAGTGCCCACGTTTTCAGCCAATCAGGCCTTCGCCGCCACATTTCAAAGCGACGTCGGAACACAAAATGGTTGCATGGTTGGCGGAGTGGTGTCATCGTTTCAGTGGCATTCGACAAGTGCCGTTGCCTACATAACTTTTTTCTATTGTTGCACGTGCATTGCTGATTCGCAGCGTAGCGATCTAATCGGTGCCCAGCAGGATCGAAGATGGCACTCGTTCGAATGGGTAGGGCCCTGTTGGCTCATGCAATGGCGCAAAAAGAGGGCCAGAGGGTTGATGGGAGGGTGTATGGAGACCACCTCTTTAACAGTGCCCAGTGATGATGCCCAGAGCCTCCGACCCTCCTTCTAGCCAGCGTGCAGAGACCCCTTCCATCCGCAGACGACTAGTCCTTTGGGCCCCCACTCCCTTCTCCCCCTCCTCCTCCCTCTGACCAGCGGCCCTCCTCCCCCCTCGTCGCACAAGGAGACCCCCCCCCCCGACCTCGAACAGAGCAGGGGACATTTTCTGAATCTGAGGTTCGAGCTCTCCCTTTCGAGTGCGGTCTTGAACCTGATCGCCCCCAGACCTTCGCGAAACGCTCAATGGGCCCGGGCGGTTGGGTGAATGGTTTCGGCTCAGTTGGGTGGGCTGGAGGCCTCACTCCTCGGCTGCTTATGCCGATCCTAGGGCGAGCGCATCTCATCTTCTTCGGCGGATTTGCCCGCTGAGGTGCTCGCGGTTGGTGTTGACCATGAGGGTCGCGCCGGCAGAGAGCGCTCCACCGGAGTTATAGTTGTTTTTGATACCTGCGGGCAGACGCTCGGACCCCCCTGGGGGCGCGCTGGGTGTGCACGAATTGGCCAAGATCGGGTCTGCAGCATTTCGAGGCGCCACGGCTGTTTTGCATGGCGGGGAGGGTCTGACCCCATGGGTTGCCACCCAGGCTTCGGTGGCAGCTTGAACTCCCCAGGGACAGCTCTCGGGTGGAGCCCCCACTGAAAGCCTCGAGGTTGGCATGTTGAGCTCTTCGGTGAGCTTCGATGCCCTGGCATCGGCTGGCATAATTGGAATCCGAGCTCCCTAGGGTGGAGGTCTGGAGCGTCGGCAGGCGAGATTCTTAGCCAGCCTTTCAGGCCAGCCAATATCATCTCATCCCTCAACTCCTGGCTCGGATTACCAGGCTCCTGCGGCACACCCCACCACCGCGCCCTGTGCAAAGGCGAAGCAGAAAGGAGGTTTCGATGGTCTCCCAGAGGGGATCCTAGAGGCCTCCCAGGATCCTGGAGGGTTCTGGATGGTTCCAGGATCCCCTCGGGGAGGGTTCAAGGGAACGTTTCGGGGCTCCCCAGAGATGTCCTGGAGGGTTCGATGGTCCCCGCGGGGATTCCTGACGGATTTCAGGGGCATTGCTGGAGGGTTCTGAAGAGGAGGAGGAGGAGGAGGAGGAGGAGGAGGATGATGATGATGATGATGATGAGGAGGATGAGGAGGATGATGAGGATGAGGAGGATGAGGATGAGGATGAGGATGAGCATGAGCATGAGCATGAGCATGAGGATGAGGATGAGGATGAGGACGAGGATGAGGATGAGGATGAGGATGATGATGCTGATGATGATGATGGTGATGCTGGTGCTGATGCTGATGCTGGTGATGATGCTGATGCTGATGCTGACGATGATGATGATGATGATGATGATGATGATGATGATGATGATGATGATGATGATGGTGATGATGATGATGATGGTGATGGTGATGGTGATGGTGATGGTGATGGCGATGGTGATGGTGATGATGGTGATGATGGTGATGATGGTGATGTTGATGATGATGATGAGGATGGCCATGATGGCGATGGTGATGGTGATGTTGACGGTGATGGTGATGGTATGGTGATGGTGATGGTGATGAGGATGATGTTGATATTGATGTTGATGATGGTGATGGTGATGATGATGCTGATGGTGATGGTGGTGACGATGGTGCTAATTATGCTGATGATGATGCTGATGATGATGATGATGAGGATGATGAGGATGATGAGGAGGATGACGATGCCGATAATGACGATGTTGATGATGATGCTGATGATGAGGATGCTGATGAGGATGATGATGCTGATGATGCTGCTGCTGCTGACGATGATGATGCTGCCGATGATGATGATGCTGATGCTGATGCTGCTGATGATGATGATGTTGCTGATGATG